TGTGTGTGTGTGTGTGTGTGTGTGTGTGTGTGTGTGTGTGTGTGTGTGTGTGTGTGTGTGTGTGTGTGTGTGTGTGTGTGTGTGTGTGTGTGTGTGTGTGTGTGTGTGAGTGTGTGTGAGTGTGTGTGAGTGTGTGTGAGTGTGTGTGAGTGTGTGTGAGTGTGTGTGAGTGTGTGTGAGTGTGTGTGAGTGTGTGTGAGTGTGTGTGAGTGTGTGTGAGTGTGTGTGAGTGTGAGTGTGAGTGTGAGTGTGAGTGTGAGTGTGTGTGTGTGTGTGTGTGTGTGTGTGTGTGTGTGTGTGTGTGTGTGTGTGTGTGTGTGTGTGTGTGTGTGTGTGTGTGTGTGTGTGTGTGTGTGTGTGTGTGTGTGTGTGTGTGTGTGTGTGTGTGTGTGTGTGTGTGTGTGTAAAAGTGCATAAATTTATTTCAACTCCCCTTCCCCCCACCCCCTTCCCTCGCTGGATCTGCCCTGCCTGGATGTACAGCTCGTAGCCTTCCTCCTCGATCCCAGCCACCTCCGCCAGCCGCAGCAGTCGCCGCGCCGAGCCGCTCCCGGCGGATGTGGCCAGCGGGGCGCCGGGGGGCCACCGCTGCAGCCACTCTCCCAGCAGCTCCGCAGCATCTCGCGCCAGAGGCGAGGCCACCTCCACCTGCAAAACCGCACCCTTCCCGAACGAGCCTGCTCATGCTATAGCCCTTGTAGGCGTGCATGCCGGCTTTGGCTGAGGGCTTGTCAGATATTCAGTAGGCCTCCTTAAGCAGACAGAAAAACAGACAGACAGACAGGCAAGCAGAGACCAAGACAGAAACAGAGACAGAGACAGAGACAGAGACAGAGCCAGAGACAGAAGCAGAGACAGAAGCAGAGACACAAACATAGACAGAGCACACACAGACCGAGACACGAACACAGACACAAAAACGTTCCTCCCTCCACCTCCCTCCATCCATCTCTCCCACAGGGCGGCCTCCAGCGGCGCGTGGAGACCCTGCAGCGCGAAGCCGTCGCCTGTGGCCAGCGCCACCTCCCGGGGCTGCGGAATCCCTGCGAAGGCCAGGCCTGGGGCGCCGGTGAAGCGCACCTGGCGATGGGAAAAAATGTCCAGGTGAACTTAGGGCGAACGAAGATGGCGCAATCCCCTTTCACGTCAAATGCGGGGCATGATGAAGCCAACATGTAGGATTTGTGCAAGTTGCACCCAACTGCAACGCCGACCCTGGCAGATGCAAACGAAGCCTAACACAGCAATCTCCTGTTGGGTGCACCTTTTTTGGGGTTCATGCTGATCTGGCACCTTGTAGTCAACCAGGGGCTTGTCAATCCTGGGTTCCCATTAATGCCAAGTTCGGATGACTCCGGGGAACCGTAACGCCCTTCGATCACGGGCTTTGCCTTGGGTGGCTTGCTTTTGTTGGTTTTCTTGGCCCCTTCCCCTTCAACAAAGGTTGGTGGAAGGCCCCATCTCAGATAAGATGTCACCCACCCTACAACTCAGGTAGCCTGCAGGTAAGGCTCTTTCGACAAGCTTACGAAACTGGTACATTGCTTGGTGCCGTTGAAGTCACAGCCCGACGTGGCAATTGCAGTTTGACAGCTCTCCAAGCTGAATGCCAAGCCCGTCCAAATGCAAGCCATCGCTCAAGTGCCGTTTTGGTTCAATTAACCAAGCTCAATCGTAAGGCCCCTGGCCTGGCCCTCAGCAGGTGCTGCCAGGGCCACATCGTGCACAGAATCCCCCACCACCTGAGCTTCAATAGTGGGCTGCAAGCGTTCATTTCAAGCAAACAGTTCAGGAAGATGATCAAGCGGAAAAATGCTGCTGGTGTCCGCTCATTTTCCGGAACAACACTGTGTCACTGGCCACAACTGCTCAAATCTATGTTTCCACTCATTTCCCATTTTGGGGATGGGTGTCATCTGGCTTCCTTGAGTGACACCGTGCCAACGAACCACCGTACTCAAAATTCCCTTCCATCAGTTTTGTGAGTGGAACCGTGGCCGGTGGCTTGCTGAGTCGGGCGGGGGTGTTTGGGTTTGGGGGGTGGTTTGGTTGGTAGTGGGTTTCGCTGGCACTCCAGCCCAGCCGCCGCAACTGACAAAATGCTGTCATGTTCAATTAACGAACTGCTAATGTGGTGCATGGCCATGCTTTACTTTGTAGGTCGAAACAAGCTCTGACCATACAGGCCCCATCATCGTGCCATATTCGATGTCGCCTCTTAACCAAGTAGGCTCAAGAAAACCCTTCTAGGGGGTTGCTTTACTGGCAAAGCCAAAGGCGAGCCACACATAAGCTCCTGTCCATTGACATGGAAGCTGACTGAGGGGTCCTGTTCTTTCAAAAGGGACCCATGGACAGGGTTGACCCCAGCCCCAAACCTCCCTCGGCCGGGCGGCCAGGTGCAGACCCTTCGGTAGGTCTGAGGCGTGGCGCATGGCCGGAGCACCCAGCTGCAGTGCCAAGGCCCGCGTTGCCCCGGGCGCCAGCAAAGGCTCCTGTGCGACCGGTTCGGTCGCGCGTGGATGGACGCGTGGATCGGTGATTTGAGCGAATTGCAAAATGCCAGGGTGAAGTACGGAAAACGTGTGGGTTGCTTCCGCCTTTTGTCGGAATTTCTACGTGCGGTAGCTTGCTGACACGCATAACCCATCCTCGGGCAGGCACACATAGCTGCCGCTGCGGGAGACAGCGCTGGGATGCACCAGCACCGTCGCCTCCAAGTGCCGGGGCATTGCGGGGCAAAGGGTCCGTAAGCCCCAGCTGCAGGTCTCAAGTTCGTTGCACTAAATTAAGCGTGAACCTGCGGTAAAACCCAGATTACTAAAGCACTAAGACTCCCGTTCCTCCGTCCCGGAATCCAGACATATTTACCCAAACCCCCCCCCCCCCCCCCCCCCCCCCACCCCCCCCCCACCCCCCCCCCCCCCCCCCCCCCCCGCCCATCCCCCCGCCCTCCCCCCCCCCCCCCCCCCCTCCCCACCCCCCTCCCCCCACCCCCACACCCCCCCCCCCCCGTTCCTCCGTCCCGGAATCCAGACATATTTACCCAAACCAACCGGCAGATGATATATATATATATATATTTGTATATGTATAAGTTTAGGGTTTCTTTATATATATGTATATATATATATATATATATTTATTTATATATGTGTACATATATATATATATATTGGGACAGCTGCTGGCAGAGTTCCCTGCCGCACAACATGATCTAAGCGGAGGAACCCTTTTAGCTCCGATCACCCAAGAGGAAGGCACTGCTTAAGTGAAGGCGCAACTGTTCAGTGTAGACAAGCGTCCGGAAATGTGTCAAAGGCATGAACCCATCCTGGCGCTCGCCTTCATGCTGAGCTTGCTTGAAAAAGAGTTACATGATGCTCGAGTTACAGCCTCTGCAAGAAGCAACGAGATGATTCCCAGCCTTTTGCCGGATTAGGGATTGCCCTTATATAAATGAAAGCAGGACGACACCCCGCCTCCTGTGCCCGCTGCCAATATTCCGAGCTTTAACTTGCTTGGGCCCTCTGCCCAAACGCCCGGAGTGCCCTCTGCCACAGTCCCAGGCCAACAAAGCGGCGCTTAGGGCAGGCCCTGGCACGCGCCTTTAACCAGGTGAAGCACAGGCGCCAGCCTGCCACTGCCGGGCCATCTGCGGCATTGGCCACGGTCAGCACCACCACGGAGCCCCGTGCATCCTCGTCCGCCACCACCTGGCGCCGACCAAAACCGACTGTGCCCTTCCCGGCTCTAAAGACACTACCGGATATTTACTCATCGCAGGCGCCAGCTTAATTATTGTCTCCTTTCAAACAAGTGCAAACATTGCAAACGAAAACTCGTAAACCGGCTCATGATTCTGACGTCATTCGCATCTGATGCTTCTACGGGGCATTTGCTGCAACAGGCAGATGATGCAGCGGGGGGATGCGGGCAAGGGGCGCCAAGAAGAATGGATACACGTTTGAAGCGAGTTCCGCAAAGCAGCTAAACCAATCACTGAAAAGCATCGGCTGTCATGACAGATATCTCCCCGGGTTTGTCACATGTCGGCCTCTTATTCTGCTCTCCTGCCATGTCACCATATGTCCCAAGTGCCAAGACCCCAAAGCCGCTGCCTGCACAGAGGCGGTGAAGGGGGCCGACTGGGCAGCCCAGGCGCCCGCCCAGCACAGCGCGTGGATCGCTAAGGTCATGTCACAAGGCTCAGCTGAGCGCAGCTCGCCGAAGCAACATGCGCCCTAGTCACCGGACTCAGCGCGAAAGCAACTCCCTTTCAAGGAAAGAGTCTTACGCTGGCTGCAGAGAATCTCAATGAAGGGACCGCCGCAGCCAGGCAGGTGCCGAGTTGCATTGACGTTGCTGTGTTGTCCCCGTGGGCCAGCGTGGTGAAGTGCTGAACCAACAGAGCTATTAGCACGTATGTGGGTGTCGGAATGTGTCAACATCAGGGGTGGCTGCAACTTCTTTGCTTTTGCATGTATGTGCCGCAAGCCGAACGAAGCTCCCGACTTGGACCACTAAACGTATCTTCAGGCAGCAGGCCATTGAAGGTGGTATCACAAATATTTGGGCACAAAAGTTTGCACGGTTGACACCTGCCGAGATCAATGAAAGTAAACGAGCAAGGCTTCAAACTGCCCGGACCACAGTCACAGCTGCCCAGTCTAAGCCAACTGCACTGCCGGTGTGCCCTCGTTCTGCGTCACCTCGTTGTTGCCCTCGGCCTGCATCGGCGTGTGGCAACGAGAGGGGTGAATGAAGACCCCCTTCCTCCAAGCACTTCTTGTGTGTGTGTGTTTTCTGTCCTCTCGCTCCTAGTGCCATCCCGCAGGTCCCAAAAGCACCACGTTGAATGGAGAACCACCCATTTTGGTGGTTGGTTTTACCTCAGTAACTCTGCGAGCGCTGAGCTCGACAAGGGCAAGCTGTGCGCACCATCGAAGCCAGGATCACCTGGAATCTTGGACGCGGCTTGCCACGCAGTGGATGCGGATGCGCCCTTTTTCTTCTTGGGGTGCCTGGCTTCCTAAGCTCTTGGCCAACAAAAAGCCTCGTGTAGCTTCAACGCCCCCTGAATTTGCCCTGTTTCCACATTTGCCACCTTGACTTGAAGACAACCTGTGGCTGGCCTCAAGGATGGGAGCTGCTACTGACAACAGCCTTTGGATTCAACCACGTGCACAAAAGAGTTTGGCCTCGGCTGCACATTGATGCCAAAAACTCTTTTCAGCCTTGCTTGCGGAACAGCAAGCAATTTGGGCCGTGCCTGCCAAGGCAGCCACCGATTTGGTGAATGGGGCCTATCTCCCTTCGGTCACCTGGCTCTGCACCCACGCTGAGCACTCTGATTGCTCGCACTCTTTCTGCGACTTGGTTGCCATGCTGGGCTTGCTTGCTGCATGCTATCCCGGAAGCCCAGCTGACTCAATGGGAGCCAACTAAGATCATTGCCCTGCTTAAGAATGCCATTCGCCTTGCCCCATGGGACAACTTCCAAGCCACGGCCAGCGGAGGGCGAGCATTGTCACATCAAGCCAAGTCATGCCTACCGTTGACAGCAATTCAACATGAATTCATAAGCAATGTTTGTCACGAAAGCGTGTTCTTCCGGTCTTTTGCGCCAGCGGCAGAATCCGGATGAGCGCAAAAAAGAAGAAAAACAACACTCTGCCTGCTGACTGCAACCGCGGGGCTTAGAGCGGGTACCTTGAACACTTTTTGGGCCGCGTTGACATGTTGCAATCAGATGTGTTTTTTTTTTTCGGGTCCGGAGTCTTGGCTCAGCGGGCACCCCGCGGCTCATGGCCCCGGAATCATGTAGAGGAGAGTGCCTTGGTCTAAGATTAACGCAGCCGAAAGGCGCAAAGCAGCCCAAGCCCTACCAGCATGTGGCTGCCAACTCAGCTGGGTGACCTGGCTTGCCTTCGAGCATACAATTGCGGCATGTGCCGCCACAAACTACCGCAGCTTTCCCTCAGCTCATCCCTCAGCTCTCCCCGCCCCGAGCTAGTTTTCCCAGGGGCAGGAGAGGAAATGCAAAGACAATAGGAACGTGTATCCAACAAATGGGGAATAGTCAGGTGGATGAAGAAAGACATGGAAATCGAAAAACTGAATCCCCCAACAATTGTCAGGCGGATGAAGAAACACATGGAAATCGAAAAACTGAATCCCCCAACATTGTCAGGCGGATGCAGAAAGACATGGAAATTGAAAAACTGAATCCCCCGAATCCCCCGAATCCCCCAACAATTGTCAGGCGGATGAAGAAAGACATGGAAATCGAAAAACTGAGTCCCCCAACAATTGTCAGGCAGATGAAGAAAGACATGGAAATCGAAAAACTGAATCCCCCAACAATTGTCAGGCAGATGAAGAAAGACATGAAAATCGAAACACTGAATCTCCAAACAATTGTCAGGCGGATGAAGAAAGACATGGAAATCGAAAAACTGAATCCCCCAACAAGTGTCAGGCGGATGAAGAAAGACATGGAAATCGAAAAACTGAATCCCCCAACAATTGTCAGGCGGATGAAGAAAGACATGGAAATCGAAAAACTGAATCCCCCAACAATTGTCAGGCGGATGAAAAAAGACATGGAAATCGAAAAACTGAATCCCCAACAATTGTCAGGCAGATGAAGAAAGACATGGAAATCGAAAAACTGAATCCCCCACCAATTGTCAGGCGGATGCAGAAAGACATGGAAATCGAAAAACTGAATCACCCAACAATTGTCAGGCGGATGAAGAAAGACATGGAAATCGAAAAACTGAATCCCCCGAATCCCCCAACAATTGTCAGGCGGATGAACAAAGACCTGGGAATCGCAAAACTGAATCTCCAAACAATTGTCAGGCAGATGAAGAAAGACATGGAAATCGAAAAACTGAATCCCCCAACAATTCTCAGGCAGATGAAGAAAGACATGGAAATCGAAAAACTGAATCTCCAAACAATTGTCAGGCGGATGAAGAAAGACATGGAAATCGAAAAACTGAATCCCCCAACAAGTGTCAGGCGGATGAAGAAAGACATGGAAATCGAAAAACTGAATCCCCCAACAATTGTCAGGCGGATGAAGAAAGACATGGAAATCGAAAAACTGAATCCCCCAACAATTGCCAGGCGGATGAAGAAAGACATGGAAATCGAAAAACTGAATCCCCCAACAATTGTCAGGCGGATGAACAAAGACCTGGGAATCGAAAAACTGAATCCCCCAACAATTGTCAGGCAGATGAAGAAAGACATGGAAATCGAAAAACTGAATCCCCCACCAATTGTCAGGCGGATGAAGAAAGACATGGAAATCGAAAAACTGAATCCCCCAACAATTGTCAGGCGGATGAAGAAAGACATGGAAATCAAAAAACTGAATCCCCAGGCGGATGAAGAAAGACATGGAAATCGAAAAACTGAATCCCCAGGCGGATGAAGAAAGACATGGAAATCGAAAAACTGAACCCCCCAACAATTAGTGGGAATGGGGAAGCTTTAAGCCCGCGGCTTTTGCCCTCGAAGTCCAGCTCGGCACGCTGGATCCGAGGGTCCAGCTGCTGCAAGTACTCCAGGAGCTCCCCATAGGTCCTCCCCGCCCGTGCATCTCCAAATGGAATGTGGAACCCATGGCTCATGTGGCTCCCAGTATGAAAGCTAGAAAACCGGCAGCGATTCAGGACGCCAAAGCCATTCTTCCGCAACGCATGTGTGCACATGGCGGTGCAAACTACACGCCTTGAGCAGCCCTAGGGCAATATCCATTCTGAATGGGGGCACCCAGCAGGCCCTGCCAAACCAGCGAGCCCCGTTCTCACAATGATTCTACCCAGCCGAGCAAGAGTATTGACACACTTGGCAAAAAAGCCACACAACATGATGACTGGCAAACTTGAGGAGCAGGTTGGACCCACGGATTGCCTCCGAACGAGGTGCCTCTCCTCACCGGCTGTCCGGTGCGCGGCAGCTTCCGCTTTGGAAAGTCTGGCGGAAGCGGGACCAAGGCACTTGAGTAGACATCAAGCAAGAAACAGAGAGAGAGAGAGAGAGAGAGAGAGAAAGAGAGAGAGAGAGAGAGAGAGAGAGAGAGAGAGGGAGGGAGGGAGGGAGGGAGAGAGAGAGAGAGACATGCTTCACCACTTGCATTTGTGTTGCATGTATGTATACTACCGCAAGCCTTGAGCCTCTGCCCTACAGCAGTAGAAAAGGCAGGCTGCAGCAGACTACATTTGTTTATGTTAACAACAACAGCATTGCACTTGCACTTGTAGTACTTGAGACTCCGATTTTAACGTGGTAGCGGAGCTGAGATCCTAAACAGCAGAGAATGGGCCAACAGCAGAAACTGCAGGAGCCACGACTACGGGAGCAGGAACACAATAAGACAACGACGTTCAGAGACTACATCGATACAAACTGCCACCACCCTTCTTCACTGGTGACTACTCCCAGTATGAAGAATGGCTGTTCAAGCTACAAGCATATCTCGGACTCATAGACCGAGACTTCGACCTGGTGCTACAACTGGCACAAGTAGCTACACGACAGATTGCGGATACAGACATCAGAACACACATACTCGATCGTACACAAGCAAGCAAAGCAGTAGACCTCTCCAGAGATCTACACTACATCCTCATCAACGTCTGTCAGGGAGCAGCAGCGACGTAGTAAGGCAAAACCGCTACAACGCAAATGGATGTGAAACACTACGACTCTTGCACAACAGGTTCCTACCAGTAGGCACACGAAGCGTTGGCTACCTTCCAAGCTACTGGAACCTACACGCAATGAAGCACAGTTTGAAGTGCAATTCCTACAATGGGAATACGACATCAACCGCTACGAGAAAGACAACGGCACAGCACTACCACATAAAAGAAAAATCGCAATACTACTCCACGAAACCAAAGGAGCGCTGCAACAACATCTCCAACTGCGAGCTGGACAGATCACGAACTACAACGAGATCAGAGCAGTCATCCTGGACTACTACAAGACGATTTCAGCTTTCTCAAGATCGACTGCAGCTGTAGGCACAAACTACAATGGAGGATCAGCACCAACGGACGTTGACAACGTTTGGAGGAAAGGAAGAAACTACAAAGGCAAAGGAAAAGGCAAAGGCCACTACAAAGGAAGCAAAGGCAAAGGCAAGTACAGGAGCAAAGGACACTACAAGGGATTTGACAAAGGCAACAAAGAAAACTACAACAAAGGAGGATACAACAAGAGCAAAGGAAAAGGCTACTCAGGATCCAAAGGCTATGGATCAAGCAAAGGCTACAAAGGCCAAGGAAACTACAGCAAGTCAAAAGGAAAAGGAAGCAACAACTACATGACATGCCACCGATGTGGCAAGCCTGGCCATTGGGCCCAGGACTGCAGAGCGCCTGTGTGGCAAATAGGAGAAGGAGAAGAACTACATCCACCAGACCAAGAACAAGCAGATCAGGACAACAATGAAGAACTACTTCAGGATGTGAACGACACTTGGGACTGGTACTACGAAGGGGAAGAAGGACAACACGAGATAAACTACATGGAGGAGAATTGGGAACGACTACGACTATGACAACAGCTGGGATTGGAATGACAACAGCTACGAAGACACAGCAAACTACATTGGAGGCAGCAACGAGTCACACCTCACCATTAGACACATCAGACAAGCAAAGTCACTACTACACAAGCACAAATCCAAATCACTACTTGGAAAGAAAACAACACACACAACATCATGGAACGACCACAGCAAGAGCTTTCAACAATCCCTTCAAGAGGACACAACACAACTGCACTTCGACATGCGCTTGCACTTGTAGTAATTGAGACTCCGATTTTAACGAGAGAGAGAGAGAGAAAAAAAAAACAGAGAGAGAGAGAGACAGAGAGAAAGAGAAAGAGAAAGAGAAAGAGACAGAGAGAGACAGAGAGAGACAGAGAGAGACAGAGAGAGACAGAGAGAGACAGAGAGAGACAGAGAGAGACGGAGAGAAAGAGAAAGAGAAAGAGACAGAGAAACAGAGAGAGACAGAGAGAAAGAGAAAGAGAAAGAAAAAGAGAAAGAGGGCGGGCGCTTCCCCCGAACCCATCCCCACTTTGTCACGGACTTTGGCTTCAGCTCTGCTGAAGGCTCCTTGGGAACAACCCTTCCACCCTTGCACTCAATCATGCACTCAATATCTCTCTCTCTCTCTCTTTCTCTCCCTCTTTGCCGTTGCATCCAAAACTACTTTGCCTCCCACCTCCCTTCAGACCCCAGGCCTGCAGCGTAGGTGCAGCAGGGCACCACCGCGAAGGGCTTCTTCAGCAGCAGCGCCAAGCGGATCGCCGGCTCCGCCGCCTGGTCCGGGTGCAGCGCTACCACCTGGGTGTGCGAGGGCCCCCTACTCAGAAAGAACCCTCCACAATGTGACGCCTCCTATTGACAAATTGATGCTGGACGGAAATTAGGAGGTTGGAGGCTGGAGTTCCAGGGCGTTGCTGCTGCTGGTGCGAATGGGCTTGAGAACAGTGACATTGCTTGACCAAACGTGGCCCACCTCCTAGCCATACAATGCACAACTCGCCACATTTCGCTCCGAACAGGCTCATGGCACAAAGGAGGCGCAAATGCTCCCAACTTGCAGGCCGCGGCTTCCACAGCACCCTGCCTAGCAGAGTCTACAGCGATAACTGAAGCCATCAGGCACTTTGGCCTTGAGGCCGGAAGGCCGAGGATTTCGGCCCTCACGAGCCGTTGGAGTGGCCAATGGTCTCGGTCTCCGCAGGATCCGGGTTGGCCGCTTCCAGCATCTCGTCCTCCTCGTGCTGGTGCTTGCCGTCGGCGATCACCAGGACAAGCCCCGCAAGGATCCCGATGCCTCCCAGCGCATTCCAGCCCGGCAGCTTCAGGTCGCTGGGTCCGAAGGTCCAGATCAACAGCACGCTGAGCGTAGTGCTCGTGAGGGGCTGGAGGGCCGTGTACGCCAAAACAAAGCCCGCTCGAGCATGCTGGTTGGCCCAAGTGATCAGCAAGTAGGCGCCCATACTATTGAAAAGCACCCAGTACACCAAGGGAAGCACGGCACTCTGTGGCACAGACCAAGGTGAGCAAGAGGTCCTGAACAGCCAGGCTACCTCTAAATCATGGGCACGCAAGACAAAAACGACCCCTGGTTGAGCAGTAGGGCGCCGCCAATCAAACAGTGCGGGCGCCAAGATTGCAACCTTTCACCTGTATCCCCTCACCAGGCAAGAGGTTCCCACGCCTGTAGCTTCCACAAGCCAGGTCATCGTGCCCACTCTCCGGGCAAAGGAAGTGAATAAAGGCGCAGTTGCTATTCAGGCACAAGGCCTTACTTCACTGCCCTGTCTTTGTTGGTGCCCGGGGAAGGACGGGGGCCGTAGACATCCGGAAGTAAAAGGAAAAAGATGCCACTAGGCAACTAGGAAGCCGTGGCTGTCATCATTGCAGTGGCAAATAAGTAGGACCACGCCGTGGTGCTCAGGGAGGGGTACCGCTGCAGCGCGAACTTTCCAAAGATCACATAGAGCCTCAAATGCCCTGCACCTCTAGCAGGATCCGCCCTCTCCCAACATTATGTGTGGATGAATTCCCTAGTGAGGCCTGCTCAAAAGGTTGATGGCAATGTTAATGTAACTGTATTCACGTTATATGTGCATATATGGGTACATGAATATATATATATATATATGTGTGTGTGTGTGTGTACCTATATAAACGTACAATGCTCGCCGGCGGCTTCCGGAAAATTCGTTAGGTGGCGCCTTTTTTGCCAGCTAACTCTTGCGGCCATCCAAAACGGCCGAAGGGAGCGATCTCTGGCCGCGGCGCGAGGTCCCGAGGCAGTTCAGCGCCAGCAGCAGGTTGCCAGAGGATGCGGGGCTGGAGACAGGCTGGCCGTAGCACACCAAGAAGGCCCCCCCGGCGAAGGAGGCCAAGATGCCCCAGGTCTTTCTCGCGGTGGCCACCTGTGGGAAGATGTAACAGGGAATTTGCGCACCAAGAGCTGGGGCATCCACCCTCCTTGGCAACGGCTACTGCTTGTCAGTCGGCCTTGACCTCTTGAAGGCTCGGAATTTGAGTGCATCAAGATCAACTTACCTTACGAAACCCTGCCAAACCCCACCACACCCTAGCCACACCTGAAAATGCTCCTCCCCCCCTCCGGCCCCTCCAGTGCCTCCAGTGCCTCCAGTGCCTCCAGTCCCTCCGGTCCCCAGGCTCCGGCCTCCCAACCCAGGGACAGGCTGATGAGCAGCGTGAAGATGGGCTGCGAGCACTGCCAGGCGCTGGCCACAATGGGCCCCGCCAGCTTGGTGCCCACGATGAAGAAGGCCTCTCTCGAGACGAGCAGAGGTACCCACGAAAAGCCGGTCGAGCAGATGCGGCGGATCCCTTCAATCAAGGGACCCAACCAGTCCAACCACCAAATGGCGGGAATCACAGGGTTTCCTTGGCACAAGCTTGGCGGCCTGCCCTTCTGCCGCGTTTTGAGACATTGATTTCCAAAGTGGGACAGTGAATCGCTGTTCTTCTGGCCTCAAGCCCCGGCGCCAATGCCGCCCTTTGAAGCGCCGCCCTCGCGAAATTCATAGGTAGAAGGTCCGAACTGAAAGCAAGTGAAGTGGACAACGATTGAAACCCATCGTGCCTGATTGGAGAACACGCAGGCGCCCATTGCCAAAAGCAGGCGCAAATCCTCCACACAAGTTACAAGTTGCCCGGGCAGCGAGCAAGTAGGCGCAGGCAAGCCAGCACCCAAAAGACAAGCCAAAAAGCCCGAAAGCCAATGCCCAAACAAGTGCCGTGTCACTGCTGCTCTACACCAACCAGCCAGCCTGCCCAGCTAGACTGAAAAGACAAAGCCCGCCAAATGCCAAAACTCCGAAGAAACCACTTGGCTGGGCTCCTCCCGCCGCGGCATCAGCCAGCCGTCGCAGGCCAGGGCCAAAAGCAGCAGCAGGGGTCCCGCCACAGCCTCGCGGATCAGCGCGAAGAGCAGCGGGTTGAACCGGGCCACCCCCAGCTTCCCCACCACCGCGCCGCCTCTCGCGACCCTCGGAAGGTCCCCGCCGGGGAAAAAGAGAGACTCAGTGTTCTTTCGAGATCTTTGGCTCTCAGAGTTGGCGCAATGACAAGGCAGAGGCAATTAGGAAAGCCATCGCTTGCAAGAATGCTGTGATGCATTCATGCGACAGTACTCACTGGAGAGTTTGGCACACACGACCTCTCCACAACCAGTAAGGCACATTCAGCTTTCTTGGCAACAAGCATAATTTTGAACTCTCTCGAATGCCACTCCCCAACCTGCCCTTTGTGCCCAGTCTGGGGCCTCCGAACATCACCTGCGCCAAAATCAGAGCGCCATGCACCAGGGAGGGCGACGGCTTGCTCATCCTCTCCTTCCCCAACAGCGCCTGCCGAGCCCTCTGCAGCCAAAGCCTGGCAGCCTGGGCCAAGGGAGGTTGCATTGATTGCCACGCAATCAACGCGCAGCGCCCCCTCGGCAAAGCCAGACGCTAGCCGCTCGGCCTCTTGAGTCGGGCCAGCAACAGAGGAGAAGCTCGGTGCCAGACATGACTGCGAGCATGCCTTCCGCGAAAGAAACCAGCACACATGCATCAAATAAGCCATTCCCTGTGAAACACCACGAAAGTACGGCCAGCACGGCCTGATGCGATGAAACACGACCCAATTCTCTGGGATCCCATACCCAGCAAGGACTCTGTCCCAAGCGCTCCAAAGCAAAGGTGGTGGAACGACAGCACAGCTGGGGGCAGGGCCACACTGCAGCTCCGGACAATGCTCAGCACCTCGGCACAGGAAACCCGGCCCATGATGCCCACATTCCAACAGAACCACGTGACAAAAAAAAAGGAAGCAATGTGTGGGTGCTTGTGGTGTTTGCATTTTGGTCCATTGCAATCAACATCTGCCACAAGGTTGCGCACAATTGAGAAATGTCCAGAAGCCGCGAATGAGAAACGAACTGAATTTCGTTTGACTCTCAGCCGACCTCCTCCGCACTTTCCCCGCACGTCTCCGGAAGCTCCGCGTCCGCGTCCTCGCCGACGGGCTCGTCGGGCTCGTCGGCGGGCTCTGCGGCTTCGCCGTCCTCGTGCACCAAGCCCTTCCTTGGCAGCGGAGCCCTGGCTCCTTCTCGACATACATGTATACACGTTCTTCTGATGTACCTATACACACACATGTATATATATATATATGTTGGGATAGATACATACATTCATTGTGTGTGTGTGTGTCCCCTTCTAAAAATCACCTATCTAAAAGGAGCAACTAAAATTGGCTCAAAAAGTGATGAGCCAGGCAGGGAATACAAGGACCCCTCATTGTGGCAAAAAAGAGACCTGTGAACCGAAGATCGCGCAAAGCCGGAAGCCCGCCTTGTCCAGCGCAGATCCATGGCGCGCTGCTTGCACTCTGCCAGCGCCTCAACATCCTCAGCACAAGTCTTTGCATAGCACCAGGAGTTTCGTGGCTGATGCTGAAGGGAACTTACCAGCTTGGAAGGGTTGGCCGCAAAATCGATTCGAGCTGGCGTAAGGGCCCAAGCATAACCAGAAACTGAAGTCAACGCCGTCGCCACCGAGCTTCAAATAATGCTCACACCTCGGCACAAAGGGCCTCATTGGTAACATGCTGTGTGGGAGCCGGCATTTGGGACGCAGAAAGGCCTACCCGAGACCCCCAGGCCCCTCACCGTGCCTCCGGCGATCCTTCTGCCAGCCACTGCAGCAGCCGCTCCGTGAGCACCAGCCGCAGGTGCTTTGGGCTCTGCGGCGCCTCCGTGCTGTCGCAGCGGCAGTGCAAACCGCTGCGGAAGATGGGGTTCCTCAGCTCGAAGGAAGCTCGCAGGGCTCGCAGGGCTGAGTCGACTGGTCAAGAACCCCAAGCCCATTGTGCCCGTCAAAATTGCTAAGCAAAAAGCAGCAAGCAACACAAAAAAAAAAACTAGCCAGTTGCATCATAGCTGTTGCCCGTTCTCCTCATAGTTATTAATTGCATCTCAAGGAGACATTCCAGAGATAATAACGCGTGTTAAAAAGAACGATATTCAATAGACGAATTTTATAGACAGACAGACAGACAGACAGACACGGCCTTTGGCGCGAAACAACGCCAAAGCCAAACACCTGGCAGCATCCCTCGCAGCAGCTTACCCGCTGGAGTTCAGGCCAGGGAGATGGCTCCGCAAGCGTCATGGCCAACCCAAAGCAACAACGGCAACCGCGACAACAAACGAAAACGAAAACGACGAAACAACACCCGACAAGAAGTGGCCAAGGGCGAAGGCTCCAGCTGGAAACCTGCCAGGACAAACAAACGGCACAAGCTCAAGCAATGCCGGCATGCAAGCATGCATGCAGGCAGTGCAGGCATGCATGCAGTGCAGGCAATGCAGGCATGCATGCAGGCAATGCAGGCATGCATGCAGGCAATGCAGGCATGCATGCAGGTAGTGCAGGCATGCATGCAGTGCAGGCATGCACGCAGGCATGCATGCTGGAAGCGCATGCCGGAAGGGCAGGCATGCAGGTGATGCATGCATGCATGCAAGCACTCATGCAGTAAGGCCAAACAAGCATGCGTAGCTTTTGCGGACAAGATGTCAGTCAGTCAGGCTGGTTGGGCAAGTTGGACTTCCAGCAACCGACCTCTGCGCCGCTGGCGAACTCTGCCCTCTTCGAGGAGCCGGCGCAGCATGCGCCGCACTTGCGGATCAGGCAAGCCAGCTTCTGCTGCAACTTCCTGGACCAAGACGGTGCAATCTGCCCACGCTTGGCCCCGCAGCCGCCGGAGTAAGCAGCGGCGGGCACAGCGACTCGGCCCTCGCGGCGGCGCCTGCAGTGGCGCGCCGGCCCCAGGCCGCAGCTGGCCAGCCACTTCAGCCAGATGGGCAGCCAACAGCCCCTCCAATGTTGGCTGCGGCCTTGGTATCTGTTGGGAGGCTGCCTGCACCAGCTGCCACCAACAGTCCGGGCAAAAGGCGCCGGGCTCTTGCCCCGGTTCCAGGCGCACCCTCCGCGATGGCGCAAGGTCATGCAGCAGCCCCTGCACAAGTCTCCGTGCAAAGACCGGCACCAGCGGCACGGCAACATCCGCCAAGGCTATAGGGGTCAACTTGCAGCCGCCGCAGGTTTCGCAGAATCCAAGCCGTGGGTGGCCAAAGTGGCAGGAGCACGGGGGCAATGTCAATTGCATCCGAACTCCGTCCCAGGTCCTCCAACCTACGCCCCACTCCAAAGCCTCGCCGTTCAGCACTGGAAGGCCGTGGGGCTGCAGTAGGCGCAACGGATCAGCCGGCAAAAAAAAAAACAACACACACACAACAGAAAACAACAAACACACACAGAGACAGACAGACAGACAGACAGACAGACAGACGGACGGACGGACGAACGGACCGACGGACGGACGGACGGACGGACGGACAGACAGACACACACCCACAGACACACACACACACACACACACACACACACTGAAGATGGAGTTTGAAAAGCGAAAAGAGGTTGTGGATGTCCCAGGCCTTAAGTTGGAATCTGTTTGAGAGGGAACCCACCAGCTGCCGTCAGGGGCCCAGGTGCGGTTCGCAGGTACGTTTCCACAGGGAATGCGCAGCGTCTTTGTTGGCCGCCGACTGCGCATTCCCCCGGCGGCCCCCTGCTTTCAGGATATGCTTAGCATAGCTATCCCTCGACTGGTTTGGGTTGTCACACACACAACAGCTCCCGCAGGAGCACTGCTGGTAAACTGTCACTGGAAGTTCTGAAGGAGAAAGGGCCCCTGGTGTCTCAATCTTGCCGAAAAAAGGGGAGAAAAAGGGCGCATTTGTTGTTTCTTTTGAACACACACCCACCCACACACACGCAAAACGGCCGGGATGGCGGGCCCCCATGGCCCTCACCCGAGAGAACCACAGGGGAGGCGGGGGCGAAGGCGGGCCCTCCTCAGCAAAACAGTTGCTGAGGAGGGGAGGGGACGCACACCCACACACGCACACACCCACGCCAAACGGCCAGGATAAACGGTAGGATGGCAGGCCCCCCCCGTGGCCCTCGCTTGAGAGGGGGCGAAAACGGGCCCTCCTCAGTGAAACGAGTTGCTGAGCAGGGGATGGACGACCAAAACCAACCGAGAAATGCACCTTGGCATCGTTGAATGCGCACACATGCGCAAACATGTACACAAAACAGCCCCCACGCTGGGCTCCCGTTAAGGGCGGAGCTACCCGTGGCCTTAGTAAACAGCCTTAGTTTCCGGAGTGGCTTCAAGCCGAAAAAGTCGTCTTTGTTTGAGTAAACAGGCAAAATCTAGCATCGAAAATAGAGCCGCTATTCCAAAATAATGGGTCTTTGTCCGTGTCTGAGTCCGAAAAGCTGTTGGACATTTTCCATGCTTCTGCTTGTCAATGAATGCTTAGTGAAACTTGAGAATTACCATGCCTCGGGCTAAAAATGGGTCGCCCGCTTCTGCACTACTCCATTTCAGGCAGATGATGGAAGAGCATAGAAACTTCAGGATTCCAAAGCTGGAACCTCTCCAATAAGTCTCGAATGGCTGGTCGCAAGAGCCGAAGCGGGACTCCCCGTGCGCAATACATAGCTGCAAGATCTTGCGCTTGATAAGGGATCAGTCTTCGGGGCCGGACAAAACGGCACACCAATAACATTCGTGCCCGAAAGCCTGAAAGAATAGCCCCTTCTGCTCCAGCAGAGCGGTGACTTCGGATCAACTGAGGAAGGGTGGGAAGTTTTAAGGTAATGGATCGTTGGCGGGTGTCAATACGAAAGCCGAGTGCAATGTCGTCTATCACGGTCTCCAGCACCAGTGGCCGCCCGTAAAAGTAAGGCCAACGCAAAATATCATGGTCAGTGCTCGAAGGCGTAGTGTTGACCAAAACCATGATACGGTTATCCACGTATCTAGTGAGAAAAGAATGTTGAACCCACGTGCCAGAATTCACAAGTGCCTGAGTAAAGGTCCACTCCCGGAAGACTGCAACTGCTGAACATAATACTGGCGCCCACTGGGATCCCATGGACGCGCCACATGTTTGCTGAAAGACAAACCTACCGATGCTGAAAAAGCTGAGTCGTAACAAAGTGTCAACGATAGGAACCACATCGCCGAGACGAACGACCCGATGAGTAGACCCAAATCGTCGCCACTTGCCTTTAAACAGTCGTTGTATTCTTTCGGCGTGCTGAACTGTGACTGAAAAATCTGAATCAAGAGAAACATCCTGCAAGGAGGCGTATCTGCAAATCAAGAACTGCACGGACATCAGGATGCGACAGTGTTACGCATGGTTGTAAAAACCAGCCAGGTCCTGCTGGTCTAAAAGGATTTCAGACTCGACATGGTTTTGGCAAAAGATGCGCCAAATAGACCGAAGAATGACATCGACTCGTTGGGTATTGACTTCCTTGGGGAAGACGGTTTCCAAAATTACCAAGAGCAGAATAGAAATGGCTTGCCCGATCTTGGAGCACCATGCCTTGCGGTAGCTCACAATTGGCCGGGCCTTGTCCCACCCACGGCTTGGCTTCGGAAGCAGGTATGCGTATGGTAGCTGACCCTGCATGGCCCATCCCCAAGAATATTGTCGCACAAGTTGGCGTGGCACAAACTGTGGAAGTCTTGACATTATGGTCATCGGGCCTTCATACAATTGACGGAAAACTTCAACATCCAGAAAAGTACGATGAAGCAACCAATGATAATGTGAGGGGCAAACAATCGCGAGACAATGAGGGAAATGGTCCGCCGGCCCACGAATCCATCCGTCAGTGAGGTTTTGAAATTTGCAAATCTCATGGAAAGCCCAAAAACACCGGTCCGCCGTATCAACAGAAGCCACATGCTGCTTCCAACGTTCATGCAGAAATTGATTCCAGTAATGAATCAGTCTGCAGGGTAACTTCCAATGTTGCAGCCATGCAGAAAATTGCAAAGAATTGTGCGAAAAGAAATTACGCCAGGTGGGCCAGATGGAGTCCTGCAAATGCGCCCACGACAATTGCTCACTGGGCCAAATGTCACTACCAAAACCGCAAACATGTCCAGTAGCTTTTGAAATGGCCGAATGAGGAACTCGTTCACGAAATGGCCGGCACACGCACTCTGGCTCGAAATCCGGCGCCCAAGTGCGCAGGAATGAATGGAAATTGAACAAGGCTCGTTCCAACGACATACACCGTATTTCACAAATAGGACTTCGCGGAACATGCAGTGGTGGAAACAATACTCGGTGTTGAATACAAAAAGCCTTCAGCCATGCCTGAGCAACAGCAATAAACGCCGGCTGGACGGGAAGAAGTCGAAGAACCTTGTTGGCAACTGGAAGAGTTCCGCCTCTAAACTCCAGGATCAATCGGAGTTGGCTTATGGCTCGAGCTC